TCGATATGTAATCTGAACCAGAGTCTGTGTTAGGTGCCAAGGCACGCGAGGTGTCTTCGGAAGAATTTATAACTTACTGGAATTGAGCAGCACTTGACGTGGCCAACGATTTTTTGGTCCATTAACTGACGGTGGGCAAGGTTGATGGCGATGGAATTCATTCAGTCGATGCCTGCAAACGAATTGATTGGGGCACTACCAAGAGTTTCAAAAATATCAAGCAACCTTTTACAACTCAGGGGTACTTACGTCGTTGGAATAACTGCTGGAGGTCTCTGGCGAAGAAATGCTATGGACGTAACGGACGGCCTGTTAGTGTGTGTGAGTGGAGGTCTTTTTCTACGACATGTCAAGGACTTTGACTGGTAAGGCACGGACAGTCTGCAATGACTGCTGTGTGACGCTGTTGTCAATGGATATGGCAGCAATGGCTGCATCCTTTATGATCATCGGATTGTTGCTGATAGGTGCTTGTGAAGACCGTGGATCGTTGCAGATGCAACTGATCTGGATGGCTTCGAAATCCACTTGTTCAAACCAATCCAGACATAGGTTTATCTTGATTTTAGGTTCATAAAATGAGCTACTGAGGGTTTTGCCGCTGAAGTAGACACCGCTGGAGTTGAATTTGTCCATCACAGGCACCAAAGGCCATTTGGGAGGTGGGTATGACTGGAGGCCGACCAAGGGAACGCCATAGTTTCTTGGAGAGGGTGTTAATATCTGAAGCTGTCTAACTGTAGACGTACTGGACGGCCATTGATGAGGATGTTTATGCGTGCTCGTCGCTTCTGTGCATCGTCCTGAAAGATGGAGTGTAGGCTGAGTAAGGTAAGGGCTGGGCCAACTGCTCCTATTGGACAGGAGTGATTGACGGTACCTCTTTTTGAGGCCCATGATCTTACATATCTGGAATCGATATTGCTTATGTGAGCAGAACCTGACAAAGTGCCAGGCCCCAAGGTGTCAGTACACTGAAGGAGGAGCGTGTTCCGCGTGCTAATCTTTATTTATTTTACCCCTCTGCCTCACATCTGGCTTTGACTGTCGACAGGTGGGCGCGCCAGAATTTGGAGGAGATTTTGTTGTACGCTGTAGTGCATTGATGATAATGGTTCCCTGAGAGGAATATCTTGGAGCGATGCTATGCGTTGTCCTATATTTCTGTAACGGTTTGCCGGTGCAGGTTTGCAAAACCCTGAGCGTAAAAAATCGAAACCCTTTTGTTATCACGTTAGACAAGACCTCGTGCAGAAAGCTTTTCCTGTCTCAGCCAAAGACCGAGCGCCTGTTCATATGCGCCCGCCTCCATAAGGCGTGGATGGCCTTGAGTGGGGGTAAGAGAATTCGTACACTCAATGATGAATGGGCCAAAAGCAAGGGGATGCCAAATATGAACACAACAAATGATATGCATAAAGACGTGTGGAAATTGGAAACCTAAATTATCAAAAGCTTAAAAAATATGGTCTTGGGATGCTGAATCCCCTACAATTTCCTACTCCTTGATGAATACATTGAGTAGCGAAGTGGGATTCTGCTCTAGGAGAATAAAAATGTGCATTCTCAGTTTGGCAAAACTCGTGACTCGTAGGTTGTGACTACGAAAGAAAAAATATCTAAATTGGTCTTCTATAAGTGATTTTAGCTTGATTTTCTCGCATTCACGGTTGATCACTGCAAGATGGTCGAAGAAGTCATCATAATTACCAGTGTGGGACACTGATGCGACATGCTAAGCAAACAAATGTGTTTCCAAATGTCTCTTTGAGAGCCAGAACTGTCTCCTCAAAGAAGCAGTAGCGTGGGATTTGAAGGCGGATGAGGGTACTGTACCTGTTCAACTTCGGCAGATCGTCTTAACGAAGAAGGAACAGAACGCTAGATCGATCTGGAACAGTGTTCACATTGTTGGATACAAAGTTTGAAATTTACCTTGCTTTCTTGATCATGTACTCTTTGTCATGCCATCTATGGACGGTCAACTGGCTTGACGTTTCTGTGTGGGTTGTGAACTCTGGTATTCCATTACCGTCATTACAAATCACTCAAATTGTTGTTCCTACCCTTTTCGTTCCTCCATCTAACCTACGATGAATTTCGGGGTTAGTTATGTTTCTAGTTAAGATCCACGCAATGCTGCGTCAAACCAACCACACTTGCTACAACATAAAATCAGGTGTCAGCACAAGTTTCAAGGTGAATACCTTGAGGTTGTTGGCTGGACTTTTGAAGGTTCACCAGACTACACGAAATGTCACTTAATCAATCATACCAACTCTCCCTGCCTTGTCGTCTTTTAAACCCCCAATAACCGTCTGCAATCACATGAAACTCTAAACTACCGAAATACATTTAAATTGAATTTTTAGCAATTTCGAAATCTATTTCTGAATGATGCGGCTCTCAAGCATTTCATAAGCATAAATTGTGGCCACTTCTAATTTACAAAAGTTTAGCGATTAAAATAGGTGAAAAATCTCGCTTGTTCACCATCTCAGTGAATGCATTACGCTATTGAGAGGGTTCCACGACACAAGTGCATATCTAGTGACCCTGTGCAGGTTTAACCAGTGACGCTATTGGCATGGGGTGACGCTAGTGAGATTCCACCGCTGAACTACTTCTTGAGGCAACCTTGCAATGATCAAAGCGTGTGAGCATGAAAAAATCCGACCAGAACAAGGAAATAATTTGGCTTGGCGAGTAAAAAAGGAGAAATCTATTGCAGAAAGAATAAATAATTTTTTCATTGCATTTCGGATCATGCTATATAAGGGCAAACAGGAAAGTGAAAAGTGGGAGAAGGCTACAATGCATTACTATCAATTAAAATTGTCGCAACTAAGATCGGAAGACGTTTGTTCGACAAAATCGTTCTAACTGATCAAGCTTATACCACTGATTTGCCTATAGTTTCATTTGTGTGTCCTGGTGCAGCTAACGAGGAGCTGAAAAGTAGGCAAAAGAATTGTTGTAAATTATGCTTATTTCGTGGTGTCACAGCAGCTTACGAACCGATACGATCACATGGTCATGCCGCTGTACTACGAGAAGAACTGCAGATTGCGAATATTCATTTGATAACCTATGCGAAGCAGGTTATCAAACTCAAATTGTCAATGAACACAAATCGCTTAATGACAACCTAAGACCTTAGAAAGAGTGCTTCTGCTATGTTTTCCAAAGCGGTCTTATAGTCTACGAGAGCTTCTCAAGTCCTGAATCTACGGTTTTGTGTTTCAGAAAAGGCAATTTGTTTTTAATGCCATGTGGCCTTTCTTGGGGTAAATGTGAGAAAACGTACTTTTATGTAATTTGCCAATGATGGTTGGCTTGTTACGTCTAAAACACTCAAGTGGAAAATTACTACAAAGAAAGCAGTTAGGCAGACTCTATGCCTTCACACATACACACACATACACGAACCTTCAGACGTTTAAGGTCTCACGGCACGAGAGCACATTACGGCTTTCATTGGATGATAAGCTTAATCAAGAAATAAAAAAGCAAAATCCGCTCACAAGATATTTATTTAAACTAACGAATAGGAAAACATTTATTCGTGAATATAACTACGGTTGAAATTGGTATAAATTCCTTAACGCGACATCGGACGCTGCATTGAAACAAAATTTCAGTAAGTATTATTTAGAACATTTATAACGCAGTAAAGGCGTTACTTCTGTGTGCGTGCGTGTTGAGAGGAGCAGTTTCATGAACTCCAACCTCACCATTATCTGAAACACCAGCATCAGTCAAAACTGCAAGCTTTCCGTTGCAAGTGATTGTGGTTTGAATAAAACGCTGAAAAACCTATCTCCCCACAAACACTCCTTTCGAGGACCTACACAAACATTGGGAGCCACGTGCTATTTGTCAAGGTTACAGCACGAACTTTTGACTTGAATGAATTTTAATCAACCCGTTTGTCGTGATGTCATGTCGTCAGTTTAATCGGATTTGGACTTCTCAGATTGGTTCTAAAGACGCTCCTGGAAAAGTGTGAGATGAGCAGGTCACGGGACATCATGTTGCTGTTTTTTTCTATTCTTTCTCAACTCACATTTTGAGAGTTCTCGAAAATGTTCTCTAAAGGTAAAAAGTTGCGAAGCAGCTACTTAAAGTCCAATAAAAAGAACTATATTCGTTTATCTTCAAGTTAACTCCTCTACTTATTAATTTGGGAAATAACATAACGCTTACTCTTTGCCAAAAATGCACCAAACTTGGCTGAAAAAAACCCTTGAAAGGCAAAATCCAAGCTCCATGAATGATACAACTACAATTCCACTTCCTCCCTTTACAACATCTTTCAAAATGCGAAAAATTTGGAGTGACATGGGGAATACTAACTGGGGATATTGCCGGTAGAGAAAGCGCGGGGTAACTCTTCAGTAAAAAACTTACAACCGACACCCATTTCGAAAAACCACAAAAGGTAGTTGTGCGTCGTTCGACTAGTTCCGTGTCGTTATCATGAAGTTAGGTTACGTTCACCGCAAAGCAAGCTTTCTACTCCAATAGGTTCAGGGAGCACGTGCCCGAGGTATTTTCGATCAAAACAATGAACTCCAACACAATTAACAGGCAACAATGATCTAGAATTTTATTCCAAATCAATTTTAGACTAATTGTGGGTTCGCGCAAAAACCGAGTTAATTAGATCTGTCAAGTACCAGTATTGTGGTCCGAAAACAGGTTCACAGCCGCAGACCAATAAACGCAAAGCAGGAGTCCGCATGATATCCTGCAAACGACGCCCACCTTGGACTTGCCCAGAGCCACACCGCACTGGTCCAACGCAAAGCTATCATTGGCTTACGCCTCCACGATGTTGTCGAGCCACGTTGACACTTTAGAACCAATCCCGTTATGCCTCTAAGGTCCTTTGATTTTATTGGCTGATGTGTGGCTTTTCTGATTAGCCAGTTGTGAAGGCCACATGCCAACTATATAAACCATGGTTTGGTTACCTTCACACAGTGTCGCGTAACAACATGGGCAAGCCACAAGTCGGGATCAACGGTTTTGGGCGTATTGGTCGTCTTGTTCTGCGCGCTGCTGTCGCCAGCAACACTGTCGATGTTGTTGCCGTCAACGACCCCTTCATCGACCTAGAATACATGGTCTACATGATGAAGTATGATTCCACTCATGGCAGGTACCCCGGCGTTGTCAAGGCCGAGGGCGGCAAACTGGTCATTGACAACCACAAGATTACCGTCTTCCAAGAAAGGGACGCTGGCGCCATTCCGTGGTCCCAGACTGGCGCCCAATACATCGTTGAGTCCACCGGTATTAACACGACAACTGAAAAGGCCTCGGTAAGATTTAAGTTCCCCTAGCCTAACATCTCCATTCACATAGGCTCACTTTAAGGGTGGTGCTAAGAAGGTTATTATTTCGGCCCCTTCCGCTGATGCTCCCATGTTCGTGGTCGGTGTGAACGAGGATAAATACCAGCCCTCAATGAACGTCGTCTCCAATGCCTCCTGCACGACAAATTGTCTAGCTCCAATGGCGAAGGTCATCAACGACAACTTTGGCATTGCTGAAGGTCTTATGACTACTGTTCACTCCTACACTGCTACGCAGAAGGTTGTTGACGGTCCCTCGGCCAAGGCCTGGCGTGACGGTCGTACTGCCGCACAAAATATTATTCCTGCTTCAACCGGCGCCGCTAAGGCCGTCGGCAAGGTCATTCCTGAGCTTAACGGGAAACTCACTGGCATGGCTTTCCGCGTGCCCACACCCAACGTCTCTGTCGTCGACCTCACCTGCAAGCTTAGCAAGGCCGCCACATACGATCAGATTAAGGCCGCCATGAAGGCTGCATCTGAATCGCCTTCTATGAAAGGCATTCTTGAGTACACGGAGGACCAAGTCGTCAGTTCTGATTTTATCTCTACCACCTGCTCTTCAACTTTCGATGCTCGCGCTGGTATCGCTCTCAATGATACCTTCGTGAAGCTCATCGCATGGTTAGTTTATTGTCGGTTTTCAACGTCTTGCCATGGTCATAGTTACTGTTTAAATTCCGCTGTTCCATCTGGTTTGGATACGTTATCTATATTGTTAACTTGGCTTTTAATTATTTCAGGTACGACAATGAATATGGCTACAGCTGCCGTGTTGTTGATCTGATCAACCACATGTTCAAGAAGGACCACTGAGGAGGTCCTTAGCGTAGGGTGGAACACTAACCCCAATAAGTTCATAGCTTTCTGCCTCAACACAATCACTGTCGAATATTGTCTTCTTGACGTAAGCCACCCACTTTTTCTCACAAATAAAGTTTTAAATATAACTTGGATTTCTTTGGAAGTCTTGGTGGGATGTGCTCGCTCGACGTATTTTCAAGGTTGGCTCTGTGATGCGTACTGTGTTGGGTACCACTGCACGCCTTCACTTCGACAGCTGCCCCTAAGTTCGATCTCTTGCTTGTTTGGGTGTTAGGTGAGTGCTCCGGGTCGCTAAAGACGACCAAGGACGTGTTCTAGGTCGCTTCGGGATTACAACTAGCTGTTTTGTTGCCAGGGTGAGAAGGCTCAACAGATGTGTGGCCGCTGGCAATTTGTTCTGTTTCGGTCGGAAGTCGCGTGTAAGCACGTCAAGTTGGAGGTCGCACCTCGAAGAGGTAATGGCTCGTGGATTTATTGGTTGTAGTGCCAATGAATAATCAGGTGGCTGATTGGATGGGTAGTGTGTGCACCTTCTACACTAAATGTGATGCTGAGTAATTACCGAATCAAAGCCTTTCGTGAACAAATGCTTAGAATTATTTTTCCGCATGTCACAAATTATGGTATTTGCTAAAACCAATTTAGTACACCTGATCGAGGGTCGCATGCGCACACACTTGGCGTCTGCGTGACTAGTGCTGTCACGTCCGTCGGTGCACGTGCAGGCAGTAATGCCTTTTCTTGTTCTAACTGGCAAATTCTGTGCATGAGCCAAAACCGTTCGCTGCATTTGCATGAATCGGTTGACAGGCAAACTGATAAACTCCGATTTGAAGGACTGTCGTCTTTTGCCCATACAGCTACCAACACTCAATTTCCGTCTGCTAACCGTTAAGGCGTCAGCAAATATTGGAACATTTGACTCGGTAATGGCCACAGTCGGAATTAAAGTAGAAATTCATGAGGTGTAAATTACGGGTAGAATTGACTTGTCAGTGTATTCCATGACGTAAACTCCCCCAGGGCCGTCAATTCAACTTATACTTCGGTTACCGCAATGAAAGATTTCTAGTAAGGATTCTTTAACTCAAGTAAAGCCTACTTGGGTTTAACTGAGATTTGTCCAATCTATTCTTTGGAGAGCCTTGGAGAGCCAAATTGGCATCGGCATCCATTAATTGAAATGCAACCTCCTGTAAACCTTGTCCATGTATTGGACCACGACATCATCAGTAAAATATGCTAGATCTTGATGTGTACAGGATGTAATGCCTGAATACGATCTTTTCTCAGCTGGGTGTTCAGCTGTTAAGAAATGAGACCAAACCAGTCATTTTAAAAATGCCGCAGCCTAGGTTTCAATCTTCAAATATTCAGTTGAAAGAAATAACTTCCAGGGCAGAATAAACGATTTAAAAAATCCACTAGAACAGGAGTACTAGAAGTTGCTGGGAGGAGGACCAAAATGTGTACCAGGAGTAGAATGAGCGTGAAAGCCAGCGTAGCTGAGCAGTCTCCGATTCGTCGAGAATGGCATGACTTCCATCGCCCAGACAATCTTCATCCTTAGTGAAAGTTTTATGCTAAAGTGAAGGTTGCATTCTCTTACACACGACGTCCCCACTTTGTTAACAAAACCGATGTACTTTCTTCCCTCATGCAGACTACACACCGTGTTGATTTTTTCCTCCTACTGCGCAAACTACGGATACGATATGTTCCCCATGTGTAACTTAAATTTGCGAAGTTGACCAACGCCACCTAATCCTTCGTGTATCTTGTCCTTAACGTGTTTTGCAGTTTGCCAGAGACTAATTTATATTTGCACCAAAAGTTAAAAAAACGGTGGCCGTTAATATTCCATGCAAACTAACTTGATATAGTAGTTTTAGCTCACTCAATTGCCGATAACGGTGGAACAGTCACTAATTCTGTGTAAATACATTAAAAAACCTCAATATCACAGTATCCAACTATATTCGACCTCATGAAATCTAATTAATTGACCTTTACGGATTCTTTTGGACTTGTTAAAGGCGATGTATTTTTAAGCCAATGGAGACGTAAAAAAAGTAGAGCGAGGATGAACAATTTGTAGACTGATTAAAACTGATTGCCTGTTAGAACAGACTAATTGTTGGTTACACGTTAGTTTTTAAACCTCAAAAGAATCAGAATCACGCCTTTGAGACGTTAATACAACACACAAATCTGCACATCAGCAAAACAGATGCACATCAAGGGTAAGTTAATTTGATTAATTCTAACAGCGATTCTTTATAAAGCCACCAATTCGCATAATTTACTTACGGCAAATCCAGTAGTTTGAACTCAAGTACAGGTGAACAAAATCGAATTATTGTACTACTTTATGAGGAAAAATATGTTCCTGCCATCGAAATAAATACACTTCAACGAGAGACCTCCACAGTAAGTGGTGGATAAAATAAACCAAAAAACTATAAGCGATTCTCGTTTATTTCAAAGTTTACAGTTTACCTTTCCAATGCCTGTCTAAATAATGTATGGTCACGTCCACAGCCCGCACTGGAAACGCGGCCAGGCCAAACACCACGTACGCGCGACAGGCAGCCAGAGGCGATCGATAAACATTAGCGCGACGCGCACGCAGAACTCGGTGCGCGAGCGCGCGAAGCCGCCACACGAGGGCTGTAACTGATGCCACGCGCAAACACGGCAAACTCGGCAAAGCAATGCAGCCTGATTTAAATAATGTTAGAAGTGCCATTACAATGAAACGACCTAACAAATATAGTTATATTCAAAATCCCTATCTGCATAATTACATGCGTATGTTATATTCGTAACAGCGGTAGTAAGAATGATTTGGAAGGTAGGTTTTGGCCTGGAGAGTGCACTTGATTAATTTTTTTGTAAATATTTGGAAGTATAAACTTGTGCTTAACCATACAGCCTTTACGAATACGTGAATAATGGCTCTGGCTATAAGTTATGCGGAACCATGCTGCAAATCCACGTTCACGTCAATGGTAGAAGGGCCGTATCAGTACCCACATAGGGATGGCTTATCAAAATCCGCAACCATAAAAATAATCAATCACCTTGCAACAAAGGATGCACTAGGTGTCTCGAGACTTCACCTTGTTGGCATAGTGGGTGACTCTTTTTTTGAAATACGAAGTTAAACTCACTAATATTGCAGTAAACACGAATTTACTTAGATTGTATTTCCCTTCTAGATTACTGTTGGTGGGAGGTTTGGTAAATCAGACTTGTAATTTATACGCAAGACTTACAAACCCGTTTGAAACACATGCCTGTGATGAAGGCATCACAATGCTCCGAAATGTAATTGCCCAAAAGACCAGGAGATGCTGAAAATAATTGTTGTTTTCACATTCGGCAACCATGCCTAACGCGGATTGTTGATTGTATTAAATGCAATTCCAGGCACATATCACCTGGTCGTAGAGTGTGGAAAATTAAAAAAAACAATTAGACATCCTAATGTGACATTGCAGGTGGAAAGTTGGCAATGATTTCGAATAGATAATCATATTTGCTTGTACGCTATTGACTGCCAAACGTATTAGGAGATTGTAAAGTGGATGTCGTGTCGTCGTAATTGGCCACCGACGTTAACACTGCTCTTGTTCTTTTCTCAATTCCATCAAAGTCAGTTAGCTTTATTTTACTACAGCTTGCGTCATGCGTCTAGTTACAACTTTTGTCTATCCCATGTGCTCGATTTCCATTAACACCGAATCAGTCCTAAAATATTAAGCAAGGTAGGTAAGGTGGGGTGAATGTGTCTGCGAGGCTTGACAATCATTGACTGTTCGTTGAAATCAAAAGATGGAAAACGCAAAACAACTGGCGCAACCCTTAATGCTAAGGTGATTCTATGTTAAATAATGCACCAGATTTTATGCGTTAAATTACAAATTCAACGAATTAAGGTTACGTACCCTGCTAGTTCCCTCATTTATTGATACCCATGACATGAAGTGCGCGTAAAGATATGTGGGCGCTTTGTGCCAAATTTTAACATCCAATCTTTTGAAAATAAATTGTAATGAACCAAATACCGGTTGCGTCGGTGTGTCGAAAAAGCGAATTTCAGAACTAAATAACTGGGTTCTGCTAATAATAACCTAAAGGTAGGAGCTATTACGGCTGCACTTGGCAAAAGCAGACACTCTTTCCATGCGTGTTACTACCGCCGTATTTTGATGAGACGTTTTGTTGGTTAAATGGGTCATAAAAATACATTCAATCTCAAATAGACTATTTACTACTTGGTCCGTTTCAACAAACTCAGAAGCCTTCAAAATCACACTATTGCGTCGCAGAGGTCTCGCAACATTACAGATGCAGAATTCGACAAGTGTGCCGTTGTTAGAAACGTCTGCCCAGTTATGAAATACTCTTGTTCACAAGGCAAGTATTCTCAGACCAAATTTTAATGTAAGGCTATACCAGTGCTCAAGGCTAAGGAACGAGCCAAAAGATCGCATTCACCTGTAGTACTTGCGGTGTCCTCACACTAACTAGTTAAAACTTGAACGGTTTTCTTGAAGTTTCAAACAAAATTAAAACTTCAAAATGACCAACTGCTTTTACTCATCTGCTCTGCAAAGGATTTTAGGCTTACGATGAGCTATATGAAGGTAGATCGCCTCGGTTAGCATCACTTGCCGAGTGGCTTTTGAGCTCGAAATTCATGAATCTTCATACAAGCAGTCAGATGTCATGAGGGACTCCATTGATTGTAGCCTCATTAACACATAACCTAAACTTTAAAGCATTCAATTTCTACTGTAGGTATGGCGTCTTTCAGGTGTTTAATATGAAATAGTCATATTCATGAAACAAGTTATAGAAGACCCAATATTGGAGCCGGGCTGTACTAGTGCTGAAGACTAAGGGAAGACGCATAAGAGCACACTAAGCTGCAGTAATTTTAGTGCTTCTTCATTTATTGGTTAAAATGTGAACATTCTTTGGTTGAAACCAAATCTATTAAAATTGTTGAGTTTCAGTCACCTCTTCTTCATTGGGAGAGCATTCAACGCCTTAATTTGCATTGAAGTGCATTTCTAACAGGACACACTCGATGTAGAAGACTTACGTTGTCCTTTGCTAGATGGACTAAACCCAATCCTGGGACTTGCCAGGGGTAGTGAGGAAGGGCTAACTCCTTTAGAGGTGTTTACTGTTTATTTTCCGCATATGCGGTCAAATAGCTACGCAAATCATTGAAGTAGTATGTTAATTCCCACAATCTGTATTTCTGGGCTGACACCAAGGCATCACGATATCTCTTTTGAAATGGCAAATCATGGTGAGGTAGCCACAAACTTTTCATTTTTTGAAGGTCATGCTGGCCACGTAGTAAAAGCCTATCGTTTTGTAGGGCCAACGTGTAATGGAAAATCAACGTGTACCGGTATGGCTCAAGGCGTAAGCAATAGACAGTGAGTCGCTAAGCGCATCAGGACAAATTGCATGCATCCTCACGGTCTTGCACTGGCTTTAAACACCACAGACGATGGCGACATCGAAGGAAAAAGGCACAGTCTCGCTTAAGACCCAACGACGTAAGCATTTTCGCAGAAGTTGGAATGGTAGTGGCCAGCACGGTGCTGAACCACATTGGCTTCCCCAACCTCAAGAGGTCTGAATGCCTCCATAAAATCCACAAACTAACATTAACACGATAACAGGTAGTCGGATCCCAATTAGCTACTTCATAAAAAACACAGTTTTTGCTTCAGCGGCCACTCACAGACATGAGTAAAAAGGTGGGGGCAACGATTGAATGCTGTTGGAGGCAAGCCAAACACCCATCAAGGTTGAAAGCAAAATATTTCGAAAACTTCAAGAGAATAGGATCCCATTTATTTTAATCCCTGCTGCGGAGCATTGAACGAATTTAGATATACATACTTCGAAAACACACAGTAGCGCACTGTGCACGCATGTGAAGGAGACGGAGCGGTTGATGAGTAATCATTGGTGGGTGGAGGAGGGGGAGAGGGAGAGGAAAAAGGTTTGACCCCCAGGGGAGAACAAAATGGGTCGCAAGGGGTTTGAGTGTGTGTGAAAGGAAAGGAAAACGAGGTGAGTAGTAAGCGTAGTCAATTTACAGAACAAGGAAGGAGGCGTTCTCCGTTTCCAACGCGTTGGTGGTGCTGGGCGTCCTTTGGCGCGCGAGCATGTACTGACGCTTCGCCGCCTTTAAACGCTCCCTGGCCTGCGACCGCGCCAAGTCCACGGCTTCTTTGTTTTGACGAGGTGTGGACGTTGTAGAAGCTGCAGGCTTTGGCTGGCGCCGTTTGACTGTCATCGGCTACGAAAAACCGAAAACAATTAATCCGATTTCCGAACCTGTTAGAAGATGATCGAGCTGTGAAAATACTGATTAGAAGTTTCAAAAAAAGTTGTTGTTTATCTTTTTTTCCTTAAAAATAAACGTGCCTGAGTTTATTGCGTTTGGTAAACTGCAAAAATTCCCGATTGAAATAAAAAAGCAGATTTTCTAGAATTTACGAGAAAATGTAGTTACACTTACTAAACCAAAAGCGTAAAACAGCACATCGTCTGACAATGTAACATCAGCTTCAGCTAAACTGACCAAAATTTAGCGTCTCTAAATGTAAAGAGATTACTTGCAGTTAAAAAGGGCACTGTTGAGAACAAAAAGGGTTTATCAGCCTAATTAAGGTGTTCTCGAGTTAAATTAGGACGTGGGCTGCGCATTACAGGTGCTTAAAGAGGCTGGGCAGAAAACGTTTTTCACATTACAGACTACCAACCATAGCATACGTGCATGCTTGTGCTCATAAAACTATGCCTTCCGCATTGACTCCCCCCAAAAGTGGGCTGTGCTCAAGGTGAGCACAACCAACGAAGGCCACTCGCTGGCGTATCCAGCGGCTGGGTTTTGACAAGCTCAATCGATTACCACTCGCACCAAACGACCGCGCTACCCACCTCACAATGTCTCTGCTTGCACCGAAGACATTACAAGGGAAAGAGTGACAATCACTGTTACTGTAACTGCAAAGCAAACGCGCCGATTGATGCAATGGAATACCTCGTGTCGGCCCACCCCCAGTCCCACCAAGGAGATGGCAAAAGAGATTCTTACAGTAATAGAGGAAGCGCCATTGACGCCATTATGAGTTGGGGGATCCGGGTTGGCTTGCCAGCCATTCTGTCTCAGCTGGTCGACGCGCGCGATCATGGAGCGCACGTCGTCCACCTGGAGCATGACCATCGCCCAGAAGCCCTCGAGATCGCTGGGGAGTGTGACGAATTCACCCACGGAATTGGAGGCCCCTGGAGGTTCAATGCTGTCCATACAGAGGCTCCGGAACTGGACAAACTTTTGAGAGAGCAGCAAATTCACCTTGCCCACTGTAGTGCGTAGATGACCGGAGACTAAAGTATTTCAGGGTTTGAGGGACAATGAATCTACCTACCACAGTAAGGCAACAGACATTTCGCGACATGACGAGGTAATGTGGATATAAAAACGTAAGATTCCTAATGGATCAAACAAATCACATAAGTAAACTAAATTGAGTTTTTCCAACGGACATTATGAAAAGGACGGATTACTCTGAAGGAAAGAAATCTTGCGAAAAATTATTCACGGAATTAATAGTTTATGAAAGAGCACTCCCCGCAGTCCACGACACAACCGTGACATCTGACCAAGTGGAGGTCGGAAAGGCGCATATTTCGCAACGACCCCACTGTCCGAATCGCTTGTTGCTGTCGGTGGCCCATTTGTCGCTGCAGGGAGCATTTAATCTCACAGGAGCTATACAAAAAAGACCCTATTTCATTGATTAACAACGCCATAGATTTCTGCAACAATCTGAATGAATATAACAATGAATGTAACGGGAAATAAAATGAGGATATTGGTACCTGCATTCAAGCTTGAATTTTCAGCAAATGCGATTTACAAATGAGGGCCACATAATGTGACCGAATGGGGCTAAGCAGTGGAGCAACGTTAGTGCATGGTAGAAGAGTACAGGTGGAAAATAAAGGGCGGATTTTAGCCCTAAAGGCAACTAACCTTCATCAGAAAGTTCATTGTTTTGAAGATCATTTTCAATTTCCGCGACGCGAGCCCTCAACTCCGCGGCGGTAGCTTCGACAACATTGAGGAAGTAGTGTCCATCCCTATCGTTGTTCAGCTCACTGTTGGGCGCGCGTCCATTGGCCGAACACGAGGTAGGAGAACTCGCGGCGACTTCCAATGAACTGTGCTTTTCATCCACCTTCGGAGCGGAGTCCGTGACGAGAGAAGGAACTTCCTCTACCCTCGGAAGGGAGGCGTCCAAACAACCAGCTGAAAAAGCAGGAAAATGAACAGAACTGCTGCGAACTACCATCCACTGCGAGTTAGTCCAAAAAACCATCACCGCTTATTAAAAGGCTATTTCACAAAACATCACTAACACAAGACAAACCTTATCGCAACGAACAAAACGAAAGACGGGAGGAGAGGCAGAAAGGTATCGACAAACACAGAGTACAAAATAAAGCAAAGGGAAGCAACATCAGGGAACGGGAACAGTACTTTAGAGTACTAACCTGAGCAAGTCTGTTTGGAACTGTGACCTAGTCGAGAAAAAGCATCAAATAGGAAAAAAACTCAAGCTCGGATAGGGAGTGAGGATCTGGCAAATTGACGCAGAGAAAGAGAGGGAGAGGGAAAGAGAAAGCGCATACGTGGGAGCGTTTTGGATGGCGATGTGGCGATCCCCGTCGTAGAATCAGCCAGCGAGCTGCATTGCCCTCCTGCTGGAGTGGTAACAGCACTGGAGACCGACCCAGTGGGGGGAGGTGGGGCATTGTGGCCTCGTGGCGAGGCCTGGGCGACTGCCAGCATGATGAGCGATGAACGATTCCAGTGCTCGTGATGCGAGTGGCTGCAATGATTGGATTCTTGTGTCTGTTCCCCTTCACCTGCTGCCGAGGTCGAGGACGAACAGGGCTACAAGTGATGGTCAAATCATTTGACATCGAAACAGTGAGAAATCACACAGCGAAACACCCTTCATGTTCTGACGGGGACTAGCATCTACAAGTTCGAAGTTGGAGTTATTATTTCCCATCTTTGGAAAGCACAAGCCAGGGCGTTTCAAAACAATACTGATAAGCGTACCAAGCTGGCGTTAAACACTATGGATAGCCGGAAATCGCATTAGTTTTGAACCGTCTGTTTTGATTGAGAAGAATGTCACGATGTGAATTGACAACAAACTAGGGCTGTTTTACAGAAGCATCTACTTAATAGGTACAAGTACCAATTGAGGACTGTGTCAGAAATCGAGTGAAACACACCGGCGGTCCACAGTTGGCTGCAGTGAGGTAACCACCTCAAGAATGAGTAGAAAGTAGGTCATGAAGGGGTCTCGCGATGGTCAACAGGTCAGGCCTGGAGTGAGATAAACTCAACTCGGTCCAATGACCCCCTCAAACAAACTCACACGCACTGTGTGCTGATAACGAATCCAGAAGAAACCCAACGAAGGTGCAGTGCCACAAACAGGTTCTACTTGGCATCCAAGCTTGGAGGGGAATAATACGGCCGCTGTCTTCACTAAGGTTAGTCCGACTTCCCTGGCACGAGCTTCCCGTCGCATGGAACGCATTTGCCCCACTCCATTCAAATTACAACCGCAACCACATCACAGCATAACTACGAAAAATGCAAGTGTGGTACCACGTCCTCGTGGATAACTAGCATGAAAGTTGAGGTGCAAATGACCTCTGAAGGGATGTTGTGCTGCCAGCACAAAATTGGCGGACATGACAGGCGACGCAATCTGTTTCCAGCTGAAAACCCCACAGCAGGATCGATAAATAAGCCTGCGTTGTCGATTAAAGGTCAGCAGACGTCAGTGCACTTAGATGACTCATTCGCGGTGGTCTTAGGCGGGCATGTCTACGCAGTTGCAGTCCAACTTGTGTCACGCTAGCACATGAATACTCTCCAACACGCTTGTTCAAAAAAACCCAATTGAAATGATAACACTTCTTAAGTTTGGCAGCGCCAATTTCACCTTTAAGTACAACAAAAACCATCACGCATGCTCCACTTTGGTGTAGGTGGGTGATTCCAAGAAAGCAGACCTCGATCGAGGACCGAATGAAAGCGCACGACTGTTTAAACGGCACGAAACCGATAGGAATGGGTGGGAAAGTAAAGAGCCTGATGCCCAGCTGGCTGTGCTGAAGTTGGAGTAGACGTACGGCTGCACGCAACACATCACACAACAGCAGCACAAC